CCCCCCCCCCCATCAGACCGCGTTGCTCGGCAGAGCCCATCTGGGCGCGGGTTTTAAGATTCCTCGCCACATCATATTCGTTAATCCATTTTGATAAATCATCTTGAAATATTCGACCTATTTTCAGTTAGGAATCACCTCAAAAAGGTGAAGTGAAACAATGCACTGCCTGTAGACGATTCCATCAAAACAAAATAATTTCATGAGAAAAGAGTGCATTTTCACGTTCGATGGTGGAAATAATCACCGTGCTTCGAAACATAGGGGAAGTTGGGGGAACGCCGAATACTTTTTTTCTGACGCCCGTAGCACGCAAGGTAGACAACATAAGCTATTCTTGTTGGCGTCATTCGAGAGGCCAGTCTTGGCGTTGGACCCCTGAAGTCGAACAACAATGTAGTATCTAGTGATAGCGAAATGACAGAATTACTAAGTACTCAGTTTCAATCGGTGTTTACCGTTGAGGACACGGATGGTATTGAGTCACTTCTACCACAGATGGTTACTGATGCAATGGTTGGAAACTTAGGCGAGATAGGTTGTGGCTTGGTTCAACAGTATATTGAGAGACTAAAGTCAAATAAATCTGAAGGGCCTGATGAAATATATGCAAAGGTATTAAAGGAATGTAAACAAGAGTTATCAATTCCATTATCTATAATATTTACGAGATCCCTTAACGATGCAGACATTCCTACTGATTGGAAAAAAGCAAATATAGTCCCAATATTTAAGAAAGGCGATAAAAGTTGTGCTGAAAACTACCGACCTGTCAGTCTTACCTCCTTGGTATGTAAACTACTTGAATCGATTATTAAGGATAACATAGTTTGTTTTCTGAAGGAGAATGATATTATAAAAGAATCTCAACACGGATTTATGAAAGGGCGCTCATGCCTCACTAACCTTTTGAAATTTCTTGATGAGGCGACAGAGACTTTTGATCAGGGTAAGCAGCTAGATGTCTCTTTCCTTGATTTCAGTAAAGCCTTCGATACGGTGCCCCATAAAAGGCTCTGCTTACAACTCAAATGTCATGGAATAGATGGTCAAATCTTAAGCTGGATTGAGAATTGGTTATCTGATCGACAACAGCGGGTAGTGCTAAATGGCACTAAATCAAAATGGAGAAATGTGCTAAGTGGGGTTCCACAGGGATCCGTCCTGGGACCATTGCTTTTCTTAATTTTTGTTAACTCTATCGAAACTGTCGTGAATAGTGATGTGCTGAAATTTGCTGACGATCTTAAAATATTTAGGGTTATAGGGGACGATAAGGATCATAATGAGCTCCAATCAGATCTTGATAGGCTCGTAAAATGGTCAGAGCAGTGGCAAATGAAGTTTAATTTTAAAAAGTGCAAGGTCATGCATATTGGTAGAGAACATTATGACACTTCATACACAATGGGGGGAAAAACATTATGTAATATAGACAGTGAAAAGGACTTGGGCGTGATTATTAATAAGAAGGTTTCTTCAACTGAACAAGTACAAGCAGCCAGAAAAAAGGCCCTTCGGATGCTTGGAGCAATAAACAGGAATGTTTCGTACAAAAGTGCAGAGGTTTTGCTTACGCTTTATTGTGCATATGTTAGGCCTCATTTGGAATATTGCGTTCAGTCATGGTCTCCAATGCATGAAAAAGATAGCTTGCTTTTGGAAAGAGTGCAAAAAAGGGCGACAAAGATGGTAAATGGTATGAAAGATCAGCATTATGAGGATAGATTAAAATCGCTTAAGCTATTTTCTCTCAAATACAGAAGGCTTAGGGGAGACTTGATCGAGGTGTTTAAATTCGTAAATGGCCAAGCCACAGGATACCTTAAGGATATGTTTGATTTCAATTTGGAGGGCAGAAGCAGGGGCCATCAATATAAGCTTGCCATTAAACGTAGCAGGACAAAGTTAAGGCAGTCGTTTTTCAGTAGAAGAGTGGTAGGTCATTGGAACAGTTTACCAACTAGTGTAATAAGTGCAACCTCCCTCGAAACATTTAAACATAGCCTCGACAAATACTTTACAGAGCGGGATATAGTATACAGATATAGGTGGGACTAGCCAACTGATGTGTGCATGTGATCAGTGTAAGATGTGCGTGAATTCATAGCAAAAATTATGCCTGGTATTAGGTTGCAATATGTCTGCAGAATGTTGTTGCGGGTGTTTGATGCTGTTCCGTTGAGCTTACATGCGAATTGTTTGGAGATGCCTTGCATGGCAGTGGACTTGTGAGACATTTGGCGATGATAGTGCGTGGCCGGGGGGGGGGGGGCAGGGAAGAGTTGTGACGAAATGATTGATGAAGTGATGAAGTGGCAAAATGTTGTGTAATGTGGTGTAGGTATGCTTTATGCCTGCAATGTGTCGCTGTTTTGTGCCAACTTCACACACATAAGTTAGGGAGAAAAGCGGAAAGGTGGCACGCATTTTGACAGAGTACAGACTGTGCAAATGTGCAACCAAGTATGGGCCCCAGTGGCTCTTTGTTGTACTGCAAATTTATGTCTTATGTCTTTATGCCTTTCAAACATACCAGGCGCATTTGATGAATTCGCATACCGTTAAGCGCACAAACTAAAAATATCAAAGAAGTGACTTTTTCGGCGTTGCCCCGGACTGCGGGGAAAGCCGAAAATGGGAGAAATGATCTACGGGGAATGCCGACATTGATGTTTTGCCACTTTATCTCAAACTTTATCCAGAATTTATCAAAGCTGACACGCGTTTTAAGAGCTTGAGGACGCTTGGTGCACACTGGAAGTTATAATTGTGTGATATAATAAGAAAATGCCAGGTAAATAATTCCTTATAGGTAACAGGACGTTGTGTCGGTTGAAAGTGTAATTTGTGTGACTAAAAATTCGCGTTGCTGTTCTACAGCAGTAAAGTCCACGTAGCGTGCTTTAACGTGCGTAATTGCACGTTTTCGGCCATAGACCCGGGAACAGGGGGGGCAGCGGGGGCGCTTGCCCCCCCCCCAACTTGAGAGCCGAGGGGGCGGCGCCCCCTCAACATTGAGGCAGCGAGAAAAGATCTTTCCTCCCTTTTCCGGACTTTTCCCTTCTTGTTTCCTTTATACATCTACACATCAACACATGGCATTTTCCTTGCCATCTGAATGGTTTCTGCTGATACAGTAGGTATCGATTTGACAACATCTGCTATTGTCATTCCGCTTTGATTTGGGCCTGATCTTGGCCATAAGTTTGGCAAGCCAGATTTTATACTGCACCAGCTTGAGTCAACTTTGAGAAATACATAACGTACATACAACGGTGGTAAAATCGTTGCTATTATAGGTATAACACAGTTTACCCGCTCCGGATGTGATGGAGGGGTGTGGAGCAATGAGTGCACTGACGTGGCGCCCTCGGAGGGCCGGTATGGGATTAAAGCTCAGCGACACTAAGGGCTTGTATGGTGCCTTCGGTTATCGGTAGCACCCTCAGAATCACCGGCGTAGGGCCCTCAGAGCCGCCGGTAAGGGGTGTTTAGAGGCACTGGTGTAGGGCCGCCATGCCGGTGCCGGTGTGGGCGCTCAGAGGTGCTAGTGTGATTCTCTCAGAGGCGCCGATGAGGGTCCTTACAGGCGTTGCTGTGGAGTGTGGATCCTCATAGACGCTGGTGTGGAGCCGTTACAGACGGGTGTGGGGCCTTTAGAGCTGCTGACGCGAACTCTCTACAAGCCGGCAGGGGGTCTCAGTGACCGGCAAGGGGACCTTGCGCCGGCAGAAGAAGTCCTGTGGGGTCCTTAGAGACCGGCCCTCATAGGCACCGATGAGGGCCCCCACAGTTGCCGTTATGGGGCCCTCAGAAAAATAAGTGTGGGACCATCACAGGCGGGAAATGCCCCTAGAACTGGCCCCTCATAGGCCGGTAAGACCTCTCAGAGGCCAGTAACGGGCCTTTGGAGATCACCGAGGTGTCCTTAAAAGCCGCAAGAGGCCCTCAGACGCCGGCGTTGGACCCTTATGGAGATCTTAGTGTGGCTATTCAGGGCCCATGAGGTGCTCTGACGAGCCCCATGGGGCCCTTCTGAGTAGAAATATGGCCATCGTTAACCCTCAGCGGTCAAATGGCGCCGCAGGGCCCCTCGGACCCGAGGGTCCCTTTTATCCCGATGGGGGGGGGGGGGTACGTGTCCCCTTAGACCCCTAGCTACGCCACTGTTTCATATGCATCATGTCAGGTATTTTAGGCTCGCCCCCCCAACTTGAAAATCGTTCCCGGGTCCCTGTTTTCGGCATTACCCCAGCCAGCCATACTTTCATTTGCAGGCCCATAACTTTTCAACGAGCCGTATAAATTTCAAATAGGCAGCACACTTATGCAAAGACATGCTGAAGATTACTTGACCGAATTGGCCAGACAAACGGTAGCATAATGAGTAAGAAATGCAGCTTCAAAGGCGCATGTAGTACAAGGAACGCGTACCTTGAAAACGCTCTTGGCGCCCTCACAGCCGAAGTATTCCGAATGACGACTCGTAACAAACATGCGATAATTGTAGTCACTTAAGCTTCAGAGCATCACTGACAGGTGGCATCCATGTCTTACGGTTTTCGAAATATCTCGAATTTCGGCTTTGCCCCAACTCCGGCATTGCCCCAACTTCCCCTATGACTTGTCATTCACCAATGAGCACAACTTTTACGTTCTCGGACCCAGATTGAACAATGAAAAGCACAATAACGAAAGCAGTTATGAAAGCTCAGTCGTCCAGCATGTTCGGTGCACACATGAACCAGGCGCTAGCGAAACCAGCCCGGGGGCAAAAGAACCAAACACTAAATTTGTTCATTTCTTTCCATATTCTTTTATAAGCGCAATGTCTAAAATCTAACCCCAAGGCTGGAATGTGGTCCAATAAATGCCCACCTCTGCAGTAGCGGTGACTGGAAAACGTAACACCCGAACATGTAGTGCATTGAAACCAGGCAGACATGGCACCCCCCCCACACACACACACACACAAAGCCGCGTCACCGCGCCCTTACCGCGGTCCATCTCAGTAGCACCGTGTTCGGAAGCCGTCTCGGTGTGTGTTCCGGGCGGGGGCGGGGGCGGGGGCGGCGACCCGGCCGACCCGCCCATCTCGGCCGGCACCGGGAACACCACGCCCAGCTCGCGGAGCTCGTTCTCCTCCTGAGCCTGCTGCCGGCGCAGCGCCACCTGAGGAGAGGGGAGGTCAACAGGTCAGCCCAGAGGCGCAGCGCAACCTGAGGAGAGGGGAGGTCAACTGGTCAGCCGAGAGGCGCAGGGTCACCTGAGGAGGAGAAGGGGAGGTCAAGAGGTTGGCTGAGGGGTTTACCAAGTCAGTGAGGGGCGCAGGGCCACCTGAGGAGAGCGGAGGTCAACAAGTCAGAATAAAGATTTAGCAGGTTAGTGAGGGGCGCAGGGCCAAGCGGGTAGGGTGCAGCAGGCTAGTGAGGGTGGAGAGGTCAGATGAGGGGCGCATGACCATCTGGGGAGAGGAGGAGAGGGGCAGCAGGTCAGTGAGGGGTTGGGAGGCGCAGAACCACCTGAGACAAAGCAGCTGAGAAGCGCAGCAGGTCAACAGAGGGATGCCGGGAACCCTGAGGAAGAGTACCAGATCAGACCGAGGAGGAGCCGTCTCTGGACGGGTGCAGCAGGACAGACGCTGGACAGAGGGGCGCGAGTAGGGAGCACGCTCCGACGGCCAATAAACGAGAGTTATCCGTAACATATCGGAGGAGTTAGACTACAAGACATCATGAAAGCAAAATAGCAAATGATAACACTTCCCCAAGAGACCGTTATCTTTTTAGCAATGTCACTTCTCTGTATCAGTATTGAAATCAACATCGAACAGTCAAAAGCACAAACTGGAAACACAATAAGCACTCGATAATCTCACACCTCGCTGCGCCGTCCCCTGCCCTGGTCCCACCTGGGCGGCCATGACGCGCTGTCTCTCGGCGATCAGGGTGCACTTGCAGCAGGCGCAGTCCCGGTACCGACAGTAGCGCTTGTGGCCCTTCAGGGCCGACACGATGCCGTGGTTCCTGCAGCGCGCACACTTGGGCGTGCGCTGGTAACGCTCTGAGGCGCGCAGAAACAGAGGAGAGAGGCCGCCGAGCACCGCCTGGCTCAACAGGGAGCCACCCGTGGCAGCCAGGCTGATGGGCACCTTCGATGAATCCATGGCGACTCGGATTTGGCAGCGGGAGGAGGGAAACTGAGGCACGCCAATGCGCGCTGCGGCGAGGAAATCTTCTCGGGGAAATGCGGATACCGCGTGCTGTATGCGCCACGAAAGGCGGCCTACTGAAACCTATCGTCTGAAAGTGACACTGAGACTGATACAAGCTAGCGTCTGTATCCTTCCCGGCCAGGGACCCGGGAGCCGACCACCGCGGCCGATCGCTGTCGTGCCTAAGGACACATCTCGCCGTATCGGGCTGTCGGCAGAGGTGGCCCCTCCCCTGGTCACAGGCCGGCTACAGTGCCCGACGGCCGCTCCGCCAATCAGCGCGGCGCCCGGGCGAGGCCCCGCCCACCGCGTCCGGCGGCCGCCCTGTCATGAGCCGAGCTGTCTATGGGGACGGGGAGGGGACACCGATGATACAGAGAATGGAGGGATCTGCCAGCTTTGAGCGTACTCACAGCGAGTGGAAAACAGCCGATATTTGCAGCCGATGGGGCGATAATTTTTTCATATCTCTGTCATCGTTGTAAGTCAACGAAGTTCAGGAGTATCGGCTTAATTAATGGGTCCGCAGTTGGGTAGGTAATGGGCACAGTGAGCAGAAGCCAGAGTAATGATTGACATTAAATAATATGTTGGCGAACCGCTAATAGGTGCCACCCAAAGTGCTGTCACATTAGCATTCAACGCATTAGCCATCCAGTCCAACTCTTCGTCCAATCCGGAGGAACTGGCCGTCTAAAAAGCACAGTAGGGGAAAGTGACCGCCACCGTAACTTTGGAGCAATTTTTCGACTGCTCAGAAAAAACTGAGACGTGAAACTGAGCGAAAACGTCCTTTAGACATTTTACTTTCATTTGCCAGAAGATGAGACTTCTGATGCAACAAACACATTGTAGCTATTTTCGCAAAATGTTGCAAAAACCGTATTACCCCCCCCCCCCCCCATCCCATGAGGTAAAACGGCCATGTGAGTAGGGTAAGACGGCCAGCCTGCTTCAGCGACCGGGACAGTTAGTAATACATGCCCAAGAGTAGCCGCAATGATACGGGCACTCGTTGGTCACAAGTGCTTCGGGAAATGTAATGTACGGGATTCGCGCAGATTACGCCTGCGGCCTGCTCGTGCATTATGAGCCAAAGTTCAGAAAGTTTGCATAGCTTTCTTTCTTAGTATTCTAGAGTAGATTGTATGTGTGAATATTCCTAATACCTATGTGTGTGTGCATCGAAATCGAACATTTTCTTTTTTTAGCAAAAAAAGGTTATTTTTCTACGGCTAACACTTATATTTTTATAAGTAAAAGACCCATTGGATCCTGCTTGGCGGATATTTACCCCAGCCTCAGTGTCAGAAGTTTAGCACTATTTTTATCCGAGGACAATTTGCTGGAAGTGGAGCACGGTGAATGAACATGGGTGGCATATGAGTACCTATGTATACCACAGAGATTACGAGTTTTTGACTCTATATGGAGCTGCTCACAAAAGCTTACACAATATGCTATAAATGTTTTCAATGAAATGGGTGTATTCGTATTTCTATTTGTACTTTGAAAGTCCCCAACAGACATGTATCCACTTACAGGCGAAGTCAATCTATAACATCAAATAATAATGCTTAAGTCGGGAAAAATAGTCAAATCTTGGAATGAGCTTTCCCTTCACAGTATCTTTAGAACTCCTTATACATCTTGGCAAAATGTCACAAAGGTGGAGATTCAACATTGAATCTTGAGATGATGTTAAACGAAAGCTTATTTTAAGAGCAGTGGAAAATTTTTGACGACTTTTAATTTTTGTCAGAAGAAACCAATTTACATGTTAACCCGCGCCCCGAAGGGCTACCGGCGGACGCTACCACCCGTAGGGGGGGGGGGGGGCGTTTCGGCCCACCCCTAAGATCTCGGAAATTTACCGGCCGGTTTTCAAAATTCCACCAGGGAACTAACTACCTTGTGATCAAATTTCATTGAACTAGGTCAAACCGATGACGTCACAGGTCAGGTCAAAGGTCGGATTTTTACCGTTCACAAGCATTTCAAGAAATGTGTTGTGAACTCGAGTAAATTAGTAAGGTTTTGAAAACCATCGATGGTACATTGTTCGTCAAACACATACTTCGCTATCTGAGGTCACTGATACCAGGTCAGGTTACAGAGGTCAGGTCATTGGGGGTCACCTGAGGGTCACAATATGAAAGTGTTGTGTGATGCATGTTTTATGGTTCATTTTACATGACAAATGCGATTATGTGGGTCAGGCAGCCTTTGGGGCCAGCTTAGGTCACGTTTTGGTGAAGGTCAGGTCAAGGTCAGATCAAATTAGGTCAAATTTCAAAGTTGATATTTTTGCATAAAATGGGTATCCATTCGATGCAGCTCGTCACAGGGAGTCCAATGGTGGTCTTTGTTTTGCCCAACGGGGTCTAGAATTGACAAAAATTGAGTTTGAAAATTTGACGTCATCATTTTTGAACAGTGTTTTCGCTATAACTTGGCCAAAAACGAGATATCGATCTGAAATTTGATATGTAGGAAGACGGTAGGTGCTATCACATATATTCCGTTTTTTTTGAAACTCAAAAAACTTTTTGGATTTTTTGGCTAATATTTCCAAAAAACTGCTTTTTTTAATTTTTGGGGGTTAAAACTCAAAAGTTTCAAAAATCCGAGATGGCAGTTTTGTAGATCTGTCAATTCTACACCTTTTATGTCTTGATCATTTTTCTGTATCTTCAAAGCTGTAGGCCTGACAGCTCTTCTCGCGAAGGTCTTTTTTTGGTCGAAAATGGCAGAACACGACGTCATTCTGACGTCATTTGTGGCCAACCTATCATAGCCTCTGGAGAATTTTTTAAACACAATGTGTAAAATTGATGCCCGAAGGGGTCCTGAAAGTTTGGTGGCGATATCTCCAGTCGTTTAGGAGATATTGACGGAAAAGGACAGGGAGGGGCCGTTTCGGCCCCCCCCCCCATACGGGGCGCGGGCCATGTTATCGATAATTTCTTTCTACTTCTAAATGCACATTCGCTACAACAATTAGATTACCTTGATGGATTGGCTTTTGTAATATCTTAAAAACTATGAGGAAAGCAAATCAACATTTAAACATTCCTGCAAATCTTCAAAAAGGAAAGTCGAATTGATTTCGGTCTTGCTCATCCACCGAACATTGATCGAACTCATTCTAATCGAACGAAGACCATCACTATCACAATACCGTGATCGTTTATTCGTGGACTCAACTCAGTCGTGCGTAACTGACGACATACATGTGCATTGTGTCTGTCATCTCCTCTGTCACCTCGGAGTCCGAGTGATTTGCCGGCAGATATCGGGGTGCCCTTCTCGGCTGGCGTGGCTCAATTGGGAGAATCCGGCTCGACATGCCCCACTCAGAGCCCCAACTTACTCAGAACATGTTATAGGTATGTACCTCCTAATGTTCATATCATTAGGTGCTGGAGATTGCAGGTGCTCCCCATTAGTGACGCGAACGGTGGCGATCCACGGCGTGGCGTCTTTTTAAAGGCTGTGAAGCCCGCCTTCGAGTGTGTGCGATCGCTGGATGTTGCATGTTATAAGAATTGTTTCTGCACTTGTTTGTTGTGCGTACACTGAAAACAATTTAACCCAAGGCTGGCGAGTAAACCGGTGTTTTACGGGTACCCCTATCCGCAACCATTTTTAACCACCCTCCCAGGAGTAGTGCTAGGTCCCATTGCGGTGTAGTCGTACTTGCTCTGAGCGGATATAACCGCTGTCAGCGAACAAGTCCGCTGAGAGCAGGGACGACTACACTGCAATGGGACCTTACTGTACTCCTGGGAGGGTGGTTAAAAATGGTTGCGGATAGGGGTACCCGCAAAACACCGGTTTACTCGCGGGCCTTGGGTTAAATTGTTTTCAGTGTAAGTTAAATGAAAATCATACGATGGGTGAGATTTTAACGTGTATGACTGTAAGCGAGGCACAAGAAAACAGGTGTTTTCGGACGTGCATTTCTCCGCAGAAGTAGGTATAAATGCCGGAAGAAGCAAAATACGAAAACATGTATATTTTTACATTTTCTTCCAACGCTGTAATTTTCTAAGGAACCGAACGGTGCCTCATTAAAACACACATTCGTCCCACTGAGACTGCAGTTTACTTCCTTTTCGCCTCAGATGAATATGACTGCAGTTTTAGAGGAGGCTACAATAATTTAGAGTGATCTTTAAACTGCTTATAATTGCAGCGCATTCATTCAGTGCACGCAGCAGAAAAATCTGGTCGTTTCCGGCCGTCTTTTCAAGAACTTTTAAAAGTGTTCAGAAAGGTTAGAAAACAACCCGAACTCCACCACCACAGTGTATAATTACTTCTCATTAACGGCAAAAATCCTGCCTGAGAGTGCTCCGACTCTTGGTCGCGGTTAGCCGAGTCTGGCTCTTGCTGCTCCCTCCCTCTCCCGAGTGGAGAGGATAGGAGTTACCGTCTCGTCGAGCTGTCGGGGCGCGGCCCGTCTACATTTCGGCGCCCCTATGTCCGCCGCCGTCACCGCAGTGGCGTCCCACGGCAATTGTACCTCTGCCGGTGGCTGGGCGGCGCTGACGGACGATCTGACGGGCCGACAATGCCTCCCCGCTGACGGGGAGGGCCGCGCACGGGCGCCGGGATGCGCGGGGAGGGGCCGCCCGGTGGGAGGTCGGCGCGCGGGGTTATTAGTGCGGCTATCTGACTGTGAGTCTTTGTGTGTTACCCAGCCACAGAGAACATGTGAATGCTCAGTGACTAAATACCGGTCGTCTCCAGTTAATGGCCAGTCGCTAACCACAATGCGGCGTTTGTTCAAATTTAATCAAATAATGCCTAATGGGTTATGTACTTCTTTCTGTTTCGCAGGTCGGTTATTAAAAACGGCTTCAGCTAAACGGTGCAAACAAAACAGATGAATGCGAATTAACGGACTGAAAACGGAGGGAATGATGCAGTGTGCAGATGTTTTCATTTTCAAACGAGAAAAAAGTAGAAAAACTCGTCATGACTGGGATTTTACAGCAGACGGTATTTACAAAGCCAGGCAAGGTGCCCCATTTGCATGATTGCCGTGCTTATTAGGCGTCGTAAAGATATGATGCAAGCATATTTTCAGGCTTGGCTCTTCATTTTCTATACCAGATAAAATTCAGAAGGCTTCGTTTGACAGCAACTCTCAAGTGGCCAAGTCCGAACTCCGAATGCCTATACTTTGTAAGGTTAACCTTTTCAGATATGTAGTCCGCAGAAGACTACGAACTACTGCTTACATGAAAATCTTTAGAAATTAAAAAGATACTCTATATTCATTTGTGCAACAACTGGCGGCATTGATATGGACACAGTGTATAAGCAATTATCGAGCACTTCAAAGACGTTAGAGAGGAGTTTCTATTGCCTTTTTTAATTCTGAACAAATAGCGAATTGAACTTGCAAAAAAAACGTTGACTTTCACTGGACACTGACAAACAACATAATTCACATTGATTTAGGCTATCTCAATAAGAAAAAATAAACGGAAAGAGCGCACGAAAACTTATTTTACCGAAAGCTTGTAAAAATATCAGAGGGCTGCCAGATACATGTGTGTCCAACAATTAGCGGCCGAGCCATTAAGCTTTTGTCGTCCCCTCTAGCAGCGTTGTCCGGTCGAGTGGCGGCCAGCCGGTGCAGAGCCTCACAGATCTGCTCACCCGGAATGATCCGCTCAGCTGTGACCCTCCTCCGTGCTCTGCCCCCGCCTCCCTCCCTCTGCCCGCGGCGACAGAGCAGTGACACACACCCGGTCCTTTCAGCGTCCTCCGATTTCATTTTGGTCCTATAAAATTATTAAATACCTTTGTCGAATCCCAGCGGGCTGAATGGGATAACCAGCTTTCAGAGATGGATAGATAATGATTATTCTTTGAAACTGAACCCTTCTCTGCCCCGACGATGTTCCCGGGGATAATTTTTTGTGGGAACCTGGTTGTATGGGGCTCCATAGCCCGGCAGCATTCACTGCTGCTCGGCCATTCAGGACGCCGACATTGGATATGGTCGGCCGACGAAACATATTGTTTTCACTTCTCCCTTGGATTGTTATTGATAATTTAAATGTGATAAAGGATTGAATGCGTTTCTGACTGGTGCACACGCAGCGCTTTATTCGTAGATTAATAGTTCAATCATGAAGACGGGCTCACTTTTTACTGGCGACCAGAACAAAGCCTCAAGGGTCCGAGTTTCTGCGATTGTTCAGAGCCTTTTGGGCGACGGGTCCTGCTCCTGGGGACCCAGCTTCAGCCGCAGCTTTGTATCCGCGCCGGTAGTCCCGGTATTCACGTCCCCACGGCACACCGAGAATTGGTACTTCAGAAACTGTCCGTCCGCCCACACAAGAAACGAATCCTGTTCAACTTCTACCGGCTCGGCGGCCCACCGACAAACGATATTAATTCAGTCTCCCGAAAGTAATTAGGCTAGTGAGCGCCGCCGCCCGACTGATTACCATAACTACAATGTTTGGCAGGGGTTTCCTCGTTTCTACAACCGGTGCCGACTTGACAGAGCAATCTTCGCCGCAGTTGCCACGCTAATTTGAAGTGAAACGCGATCTTCGTCTAGCGCAGCCGAGGCAATCGTGTACACAGAACCGCCCCCGCGCCGGTGCTGCAGGGTCGACGGATGAAAGCGCCGTCGGGAAATACCACAAAATCACTGGTGCATCTGGATAAACACAGCAGCTTCATGGACATTCAGATGACTCAGAATTTTCTCCTCAAACATGAGCATAGGTCTGTATGACAGCGACATATGTAAATGTTGCTTTAATCTCAGCGAGGATGCTAATTCCTGCCAACAGTATTTCACATTGTTTACGCGTGACTAAATCGGCGCTCATGGGGTTTGCGGCTGGCTTCGCCATGACTGAATTGACAGGATCTTATGGTCTGGGCTTCGCCATGACTGAATTGACAGGATCTTATGGTCTGGCTGTTGCCGGACCGAACACAGTGCTCTTCCTGGTGTGACTGTGACCGGAGCTCATGGTCTGGATGTGACCGGACCGGCAGCTTCTGGTCTGACCGTGACCAGACTTCATGGTCTGGATGTGACCGGAGCAGAAGCTTTTGTTCAGACAACCACCGAGCCTTACGGTCTGGATGTGACTGGACCGGCTGCTTTTGGTCTGACCGTGACCGGCTGTGACCGGAGCGACCACAGCGCAGCTCTTGTGCAGCGGAGCCACAGCCACGCCGTGGCCGAGCGGCGATTGTGTTTCTCTGGAGGAGAGGACGGCGCGGCGGGCCGTTCCACGGTCATTGGCACGGCGAGCACACAATGCATGCCATTTAGTACACAAATCGAAGGACCCGATCGATCACGGCCAGGCCGCGCCGTGGCGGCCGCAAGGCTTAACTGGGCTTATCCCGCGGAGCTGACAGCATCCGACAGGGGCGACAGGCCGCCGGCGCCGCCATACACTCCGAACCCTCGCCCAGCGCCGGTCTAGTATTTCACGTCACAAGCAAACAGTTTCAACGATGTCCGTCCATTGTGGGCCACTGACACATCAGTGGGGTGCTAATAAAGGCTTATTTTCCGCCGCGGAAGGGGGCCGTGTCGGCCTTATTGAAGGTGTTAAGAATGGGCCGACAATATTCGCCTGATAGCTACATGGCCAGGGCAAGGAGTAGCTACAAAACATCTCTATTTACACTCGGCAATTTATAATGCTAATCTGGCACTGATTTTGACAGCGGCTGACACCAACTGAATATCGATATTCTTTAAATGGCGGCCATGGGGGAGCGTTCAGTTCAGGACTGAATTTATTACAGCGGGGTGAGAGAGAGAGAGAGAGAGAGAGAGAGAGAGAGAGAGAGAGAGAGAGAGAGAGAGAGAGAGAGAGAGAGAGAGAGAGAGAGAGAGAGAGACAGAGAGAGAGAGACAGAGAGAGAGAGACAGAGAGAGAGAGACAGAGAGAGAGAGAGAGAGAGAGAGAGAGAGAGAGAGAGAGAGAGAGAGAGAGAGAGAGAGAGAGAGAGAGAGAGAGAGAGAGAGAGAGAGAGAGAGAGAGAAAGGAGAGGGAGATAAAGGGAGGAGAGGGAGAGAGAAAAGAATAACGGGGAAAGCAATGTCATAGACATAACCGGAAAGAGGAATGGCACTCCCGTCAAAGGTCAAAAGGTCAAAGGTTCCAGACTTTGATGTCCATTGTCCATGTAGGTTTTGACCTTTTATTAGTTAACACTTAACACGGATTTTCGTTATGCTCAAAGCTCGACCCAGTTTGGCGTGGACACCACTAATTCCAATTAACACCTCTGGTGTGTCCACCTCCGCCCATGGCCGTCCGCTCAGTTCCGCTCAGCGGACGGCTCAGTTCCGCTCAGCATGTCGACTCAGTTCCACCCAGCTGACTCAGCCGATCAGCCGACGCCGCAGCAGCTGGATCTCCAACTCCAGCTTCTCCGTCTCCAGCCTCAAGTTGGCCTGCTGCATGTTGAGCGTCTCGCGCTGCAGCTGCTGCAGCCCCTCGGCGGCGCTGAGCGCCCTCTCCAGGCTGTCTGTGAGCGCCTGCACCGCCGACTGGGCCGCTGAGGCCGTCTGCTGGCTGCACGGACAGCTCTGTTCTGACGGTGTGACCGGGCCCGGTGGCGGCACCGTGACCGAGGACCCGCCGTCCCCCGTCGGCACGGCCCGGTCCATGCCAGGCGCCGCGCACTCCTCACCACTCTGCCGCGACGGGTACGAGCTGCACTCCAGACGCGCTGGCCACCGAAAGCCGAACTTCCTCATCAGAGGCTCGCAGCCGGCGAACGCCTCTTCACACAGTTCGCGGCACGGCTTTTTGGGAGGGACGGAAGGGTCGTGACATGCCGGCGCGTACACGAGACACAATAAGGGCTGGAGGTGAGAACTACATTCCACTTTGACCAGAGGGAAGAACTGGTGCACTTCCAGGCCGGCCTCGTCCTGAGTCTCATGACCCAGTAGATTGGGCAGGCTTGTTCGGTTGTACCCCAAACCGGCATCAGGGTCCTTGCACAGTGGTATAGTGATCTGCTCACATTGGTCAGCGGTGACGAAAGCTGACTGCGTCACCATCACCAGAGCAGACACCAGCACCACTGACAGCATGGTGAGTGGCTTCTCACTCGGACCGCTCAAGCACCACCGCAGCTGACCTCTGAGATAGCCCCTGTCCCTGTCACTGCCCCGCTGAGGTCAGGAGCCGACCCCGCTGCCGCCGCCGACCGGGCCCGCCAGCAGACTGCTGTCGGGGAGCCTCTTCTGGCGGCTGCTCTCTGCTGGTTTATGCTCCGGGTCCAAACACTGGCCAGATGCCCACACTGTGTTGACGTCAATGCCAGTCACGGCAGTACTGAGATGGAACAGGATAAAGATGGTCGTATTGGCCTATACGTCCATATTGGCGTTTTTATAGCTGCTACCTAAGGAAAGTTTTATTGGCAATCGATGATCAGACGAATTTCCCGGTCAGGTCATTGGCACGAAGCTCAAGAAAACCAAGACCTGTAAAGTGCAAAAACTTTTTCTGAAGTGAGGCCTTCTATTTCTGTATATGGTATTTAAGGTTCCAACTACATTTTTGGTAGGTCATGTCTGGTCAGGCTGGGCTAATCATTAGAGGTGCGTGCCGCCAGTATCTTATTTACTGCCACCGCAGTGGCAGTACATCGTGCACTAATAGCTGCACCAAGTGTAAAGCGGGTTTAAAAGTAGTTCCTAACTAACTGTAGAAATGAATGCAAATTCAAAATATGCCTTTTTGCCCCGATCAGCCGACTGCCGTTGGATGAATTCTTCATTCCCGTGTATTGCAGTGCCGATGCATCAAATATGTGGGCGGATACGGCCTCCGGGTATGGTGGAAAATAAACATTGGAGCTGGCGCCCGCTCCTACGTGTGCTGACCCGGTGCTTACTTACTGTGAAAATTCTGGGAGCCTATGCAGCATTTCAACGTTCAGACAGCTTGGAAATAACCTAATCCTTTATTTAGATATGATTTTCTAGAGCTATGAGAAAGACATCCCGTAACTGCGGCTATGACTACGATAAAATTTGATAGGAAAAATGAGCCGAGTGAATAATTTAAAAGAGCAAAAACACTGGTAATCGGCAAATAAGCGCGTTACCCTATACCATGGATGATATAACACTGGATTGGTGTCTCGTGGAAATTTACATTGGGATCCGCGACATTGGGATCAGGCCTGCCATCTAGCGAGAGAATTATCGTAAGTTAGGAGCAAGCCGAGTGAACGCCATCTCTCAGCATTATGACACACGTGAGTGTGGTGTGTTAGTTGGCTTGAATTGCATATTCCCACGAGTTGGAGGTAATCTTACTGGACCTGAGACGACAAAAAATGTATTAAATGCTTGAAAGCCAAAAACGTCAAGCAGCCTTTAGGTAATAACGAAAATAAAATGCGTAAGACGGTGTGTATTGAAAGCCCAGTCCCATCGGCTTGTACGACCTTTTATATGGTCATTTATCTCACAGTCACAATGGTACAGCAGTTTGACAATATGTCATGCATATTTGGTAGGCTTATTCCTTCTTCTCCGAATTTCGCCCGATTTTCTTCATCTTAGTTAATGTTACAGCACGTGCCACGTGCCAACTTAGGGGGGTCGAAATTGTTCCACATAAAGTAACTCGGCAATGGCTGGGCCCATGACAGTAAAACTTCGTCAATAGTTAGTCACCCAGTGGCCAATGCATTTCCTTGTGTCACTATGGGGGTGCTACTGCACGTGCGCACGTGCGGGGTGCCGCTTCCATATCTCAAGAACGGCTGGGCGGATAACACTCAAACTTGGTACACAAATGTCACATCGATGCTCGCACTGCATTGATCAGTGCTTACATTGGTGCAGTCATTAGGAAAACGATTAAATGAGATGCGTGGTGTTTATGCCTTTCTGTTCCAGCAACTGATTGATCCGCAACAGGAGATCCCTGTTTGTGAAGGCTTCGTCTCCCCTTTCCATTCCTAGTTTAAAATGACAAATCAATGTACGAAGAAGATCACACATTAAAATTGTTTTAGGCGGCTATCTTGCGCCACGGCTGCGGATCGTTGCAGTCAGAGCCAGCGGTTCTGTTCCGACTTGGAGTCGGTTGATTTTTAAAAGCTGTAGTCGCCAGTCGGAGTGTGACTCGAACGTCACCGAAAAGTCATCGACTCCACAGACTTACCAAGGCTGCAGAGTCGGAGTCAGAGTCGGAGTCTGTGTGAATCGACACTCGACAGTTCTGCCCGGAGGAGTCGGAGTCAATATTTGAATACCGGAATCGGAGTTGGAGCCAAAGTCACTGAACTTTCATCGACTACGCAGCGCTGGTTGGGTCCTTTTCATAGAGCGTCTTGAATGACATATTGAGCGGTAATGACGTTAGCAATTCCGTTTAACTTTTTCATTAGACTTATAGATAGTACTTACGTTCGTTTTGTTCTTTGATCGGACAATTTGTTTGATTTAGCCCAAGTGAAGACTCATGTGAAAAATAGCGAAAACGACACGTGCTGGCGAAGTCTCCAATAACTCCCTGTTTCACGATTTAATGAGGAAATAACATGGAACTGCTTATCTTATTACTGACCCTGCACATAAATCTATTAATTTCTTCACTTTTACTGACATATAAAGACATAACCTTTTGAAAAATTGCACAACAAGCCTGCCACTACACCACACTCCCGTGTGTCACAATGCTTATCAGCGGCGTTCACTCGGCTTGCTCCTAACTTACGACAATTCTCCCGCTAGATGGCAGGCCTGAGCTCAATGTCGCCAAAAACTGCGAAGACACCAATCCATTATTATCTCATCCATGCCTATACTATAGCCGTTTTCACGACGGCTATCTGGCACATATTTGATTCACATTTGGTGCAGATTTGGTGCAGATTTGGTCAACTTAGGTTGATTGTGTTTCTAAGAAGTCATATGAGTTTGGGTTGGACAGTTGCTTATAAACCTGATATTTTAAATAATCGGGCCTTATTTTCTATTGGAACATTGAAATAAATTCATCATATGAAGATATTTGTTGTAAAAGAGATTTGGTGCAGATTAGGTGCATTCTTCGTGAAAACGGCTAATGTTTACTTCGTAGTTCTATTTAATATCTTGCCACGTATCAGTTGTAGAATCGTTGATGACTGAGCTCACAGGGTAGAAGACGAGGCCGCTGCTTCCCTTTCCACCGGCTCAGGCTGGCTGTGATCGTCCAAACACTGAACTGGGGACGTTGCTGGACCCTTTTTCTTCTCCCAAGCGAGTGCAGCACGAGCGCCAGGTTTGTCGCTGGTGGAGTCGGCGCTCGGCGCTGACTCGTTGCCGTTGCGGCACCTGGCAAACGCTGAGAACGCCAGTGCCTCGCCGACGTCGACCACTGAGAAGAGTGACAGGCCCGTGAAGAGTCCGAGGAAGCCGGCCGCGTTGGCCGCCAGCGTGCTGACCGTGAAAGAGAGCGACTCCTCGAACAGGTCCATGGTCAGGTCTATCTTGAGGATGACCTGGGTGGTGCACTGGGAGGCCGGCTGCGCGATGTGCTCGGTGCGCGGGTCAGCAGAGATCCTGTATGTGATCTCACCGCAGGCCGGCTGACACTCGCAGCCGGTCAGACTGGTCAGCAGGCTCCGAGGCACCAACTGAATGCCTTCGTCAGCCACCTCAGACCCGGCCGTGCTGGTGTTGAGGCCGGACTCGAAGCCAGCCGCCTCGGACAGACTTGGACTGGGCCGGGTATTTCTGAAGCTCTCCTCCAGACACTCAAGAAGGTAGCGGTCCGACACGCTGTTCACCAGACGCTTGTTTCCGGCTCCCCTGACGATCCTGTCGCAGACAGGCAGGTGGTCCAGCGGGCCACGCAGCTGCGGAAGGTAGATGTCAGGCCCGACCATGTGTGGCAGCCGGCAGCCGGTGTGCGCCGCCAGCCGCCGCCACAGACACTCCTTCAGACACTGTGCCGGTGAGTAACCGTCGTCACTCCGGCAGGGTCGCCGGCGCAGGTCGACCAGCCGGCGCCCGCCCACTGTCACGCGGAAGAAGGCGTCCTGGCCAGGTTTGAGCTCCGCGTACGAAGTGAGAGGCACGTTCAGGCCACTCTGTCGAGGGAACAAGTCTATGACGTTGGGTTCCTCATCGCCGTGGATGAACATGCGGTAAGCGATGCTGCGCTGTGAGTTGAGAAACAGCAGCGGCACGGCCAGCCGGAGCTGCAGCTCCACCTCACTGCTGGCCATCCGGTGCAGCGCGGTGGACGGCTGCAGCGTGTAGCAGCGCACCTCCCAGACCAGCTCGCCGCCGCTGTGCTGCTGCTGGTAGAAGCGCGAGCGCCACACGCCGTGCTCGGTGACGTCGGCGGAGATGTGGGTGGTCTCCGGGTCGGCGCCCTGCACGAACAGCTCTCCGTGCAGCAGCTCCAGCGTCGTGTCGTTGTAGAAGCTGCTGACGGAGATGTTGCCGTCCGCCAGCTGTCGCTGCCGCTCCAGCCGTAGCCGGTTGTCCCGCATCCACGTCCCGGGGCAGAGGGTGATCCGCGGGAAGGGCGCCTGTCGCCGGGTGATGGAAGTGCTGACCGGCTCGGCTCGGAACTCGGCCAGCTGACGGTACAGCAGGGTCAGCAGCAGCATCAGCAGGGCGGCTCGCACCACCCAGTGCACCACTGCGCGAGCTGGGTGCCACCGAGCGGTCCCACCGCCAGACGAACGGCGTAACATTTCGGCCGCAGAGACGAATATCGACGACTGGCGGTCAGACGAGTGAGGAGCAAACCGGAGGGAGTCGGAACGTTATAACAAGTCGGGTGATGCTGAAATGATCTGGATCAGTCCATGCGATACAGAATAGTGAAGAGGAAAGTTTAAGCACGAATGTAGCTGATACACCAATCGGTAAATTATTGGCGAAGAAAGGGTAAAAGGCTAAAAGCTAAAATGATGATGAGGTGAAAAGGTGACGGTGAAATTACAAGGGATGTGACTGAGGGAGCGCTGTTCGCGGGCCGACTGACCGCGATCGCCCGCGGTACTTGGTCGGCCGCCGGCCGCGCAGCGGTCACGTGTTCTGACCGTGCTTACCACCGAATGACAAAAAGGCCTGTGAACGCTATTGCTGGTTGGGAGTCACATAGAGATCGAATCGGTCTATACTGCAGCACTATTGTCAGCGGTCCTAGCATTCTCATGCAGAATAGCAATGTTTGATTTGGCCATGTTCACGAAAATGTTAAACGCTTAGCATACA